TCGGCGCCCGGAAAAGCAGCCGAAGACCACGAGTCGGCCGATCATACCGGCGATGAACGCATGGATTTGACAATAGATAACATATCGACCATTGATTTCTCGAAAACTAAGTACTCAATGAACTCGTCGTTTGGTTCGCGACTATCGATCAAAACTACGGCCGAAACACCGCTGAAAGCGATTGACGTTAGCATTGAAGACATTGAGCCGTCAGTTGTAGACATTGACTCTTCCGATGAAGAGTTTGATTCTTCTGTCGAAGTCATTGAATCTCAAACCGAAGACATAAAAGAAGTCGACTCTAAGATGGGCTCCCAATCGGCGAATGTGACCGCAATTGATATCACTGTCGACACCTCTGCTGTTGATATGTCTAAAACTGATTTCTCTTTAATTGCCACAACTCTGGGCTCATCTTCGGCTCAAACACCGATCAAAGCGGCCGAAGACACCCAATCGGAGAACATTACCGCTAATGAGGAGATCGACGAAAGCGTTAATGTGACCGAAGGTAACACATCTGCCATTAATTTCTGGAACAATGATTACTCGATGATCTCATCGGTCGGCTCTCGACTATCGGTTCAAACTATTGCCGAAACACCGGTAAAAGCGAATGAAGTGATCGCTGAAGGCATACAAACGCCAAATGTAACCATCAATGAGACGATAGAAGAGCACGTGTTTACCGATGGACAGGACGTCAAGAAGTCCGAGTACTCGATGATTGTCTCAACTCTCTGCTCGCCATCCGCTGCCGTGTCTATGACTGAAACGCCGTGTAAAGTGGCCGACAATACTATCGATACTGTGGGCACAGAATCACCGGTTTTAACCACTACTGAAGCCACTGATGAGCACAAGTATGCCATCGATGGCGATATATCTGCCGTTGATATGTCTCAAATCAATTACTCGATCTGTGTTTCATCGGACGGCTCTCAACCACTGTCCGAAACACTGGCCAACAATAACGCTGCCGACGAGTCAATAGTTTTGGAGACCAATGAAACAATGAATCACAACAAGACTGCCATCGATGACGATATATCTGCCGTTGATTTGTCGCAAATCAATAACTGGCGAAATGTTTCTATGGGTTTGCAATCTATGTCCGAAACAGCGACCAAAACACCGCACAAAATGGCAGATAAAAGCGTTGTCGCGGAAGAAGAGATTGAATCATCATTTGTGACCATCGATGACAACAAGAGTACCATCGATGGCGACATCTCTGCCTTCAATTTGTCTCATATGAATAACTGGCGCAATGTTTCAGCGATAGGCTCTCAGCAATTGCCCGAAACAGTGACCAAAACGCCGCATAAAGTGGACGATAATAGCGTTGTTACCGAAGAGATTGAGACACCAGTTGTGGCCACCGATGCAGATGTCGACGAAGATATATCGGCAGTTGATTTGTCGCAAATCAATTACTCGGTTTGCGTTTCATCGATGGGCTCTCAACCACTGCCCGAAACAGTGGCCGACAATAGCGTTGTGGCCAAAGAGGCGCCGGTATTGACCGCCGCTGAAGCCGTCGATCACAACAAGAGTGCCATCGATGGCGATATCTCTGCCTTCAATTTGTCTCAAATGAATAACTGGCGAAATGTCTCATCGGTGGCCAAAACGCCGCTAAAACCTGTTGATAATAGCGTTGTCAACGCAGAGGTAGAGACACCAGTTGTGGCCACCAATGAAGAGGTCGATGAAGACATTTCAGCCGTTGAATTGTCTCAAATCAATCACTCGGTCAGCGTTTCGTCGATAGGCTCTCAGCATTTGCACGAATCGACGGCTGAATTGTCGCACAAAGTATTGGATATCATAACTGAAGAGTCGGAATCACCGAATGTGTCCACTCATGAGGAGTCCGTCGATGGCTTATCACCCGTTGACACCTTTAAAATTAATGACTCTTTGATTCTCTCGGCATTTGGCTCATCGACCACCGAAATGATGACCAAAACACCCGTCAATGACCGCCATTTTGCGAACATCACCGCAACTGATGTCGAGGAACCCATGGAAGTGGATGTGACCGTCGATAACGTGTCAACCATTGATTTCTGGAAAAGCGATTACTCGATGATCTCATCGATTCACTCACGACTATCGACCAAAACAATGACCGAAACACCGGTTAAATCACTGGATGCGACCCTCGAAGGCGTACAAACACCGGACATAGTGTCGCCGCAAACGCCGGTAGAAGTGGTCGAAGTGAACGCCAAAGATTTGTTATCGCCGTTTGAGCTGAACGTGAAATTGTCGGGCCGTAAGCGCAGAGCCGCGACACCGATGGCCGCCGACGCGGTGGACGTACCCATCACTATGTCTCTCATAGACCTCAACACAACGACCATTAAGCCCAGTGGCAAACCGTCGGCCAGACTTCGGCCCACACCTCGAGTTCACTTCAAAGAGACGACACCCGCGACTCCAGTGCGACCCGAAGAGGACGTTCCCATCACTATGTCTTTGGTAGACCTCAACACAACTGTCGCCAAATCGACACCAAAACCGGTCAAAAGCGCACTTAAGTCGACGCCACGATTCCCATCGAAGATAGCGGCGCCCAAAGTGGACACCAAAGACAGCACTATGTCGTTGATAGATCTCAACACATCGGCCGCACACAAGCCCTCAAGACTTCAGTCGACGCCGCGATTTGGGTCCAAAATACCGAAGCCTAAGGCCGGCGTCGGCCGCGTCTCGACGCCCCGTTTCGTGCCCTCGCGCTCCAGCTCTGGCTCGTCGGCGGTGGCCAGCGGTGGCCGACTGTCTGGTCTGAACAGGTCTGGTCTGTCGTTGTCGGGAAGTGTCCGTAAGTCGAGCCGTTTGTCGACAATAATGCAGTCGCGGAACTCGTCGGCCAATGAGTCCACTCTTGACTTTATACTCAACGAAATGAAATGCAATGTTTCCGATGAAAACAGCGATTCGTTTCTCATGAATGACAAGCAATTGGTTTAGATTTTTAATACAATTATTAATGAATTATTTAATTATTTATCGCAAATATTATTATTGATATCATTTTATAACTGTATTTGTTTTGTGTGTTTATTTCTAAATATTTGTAATCCATATATTAATACATTTATTCTGTCGATTCTGTGTGTGTTTTTAATGTAATGTTTAATTCCCGAGTGATAATCACCACTCATTGATTCGTTTTAATTTTATAATTAATTATTTTGTAAATTGACTAAAACTTTTATCATATTTTAGAATCACTATTTCTTATAATTTGCTGTCATTTTGATTAATTAAAATTTTTATTGTAATAACTATGTGTTTGTCAATTGATTGTCATATATTAACATTAATTTACAGCCTTTATTGACCACAACTTCTTCCTCTCCATCGCTCTCTTCCTCATCACTGGACTCTTCGTCTGAATTATGGTTTTCGTCAATAAAATGCAAAAATCATAGAAAATAACATTTTTACTAAAAATATATTTATTTTGCAGAATATTCTGTTTATTGAATTATAAGTGTGTTGTTTATAAACATATCGCCCGACTATAGCCACCAACTATTATTCAATATCACAAACTGTATTATCCAATACTCGTCTTAACTCTATTCAATGTTTTGGTTTGAATAATAAATATGTTTTCCAATATTTATGAAAGAATATATTTATAAGAATATTCTTCCAATTCTGTAGTTCAGGAATTTCGCATTCATATCAATAAAATATTGGACACATTTGTAAGACAGACATTGTATTCAACGGCTAAGTAAACAATTATATTGATATTCCGTGTCTTTCAGACATTACTGTCCGACAAATGCTAATGAATTAAGTGTTAATTATTATATTGTTTTGTATTGCTTGCCATTTAAAATATACTTGTTAAATTTTAATCATCACTATGTTAAATTGTTCATAATTGAATTTATGATAAATATAATTAATTAAGTTTATAATATTTTAATTCTACACTTTACTAATCAGGTAGGTACTTGTTCTATGTCAATTTTTAATGTTTTAAATAGATATCAATCATTTAAATAATTATTTCCCTTTCATTTAATTGTGTTGTTGAGTATATTTTTGTTGCGGCGGTTAGTATTGGGTGACCACGTCGTAGCCGTAAACACCGACGACTTCTTAAGATAAAATAACAAACTTACCACGGTAACGGTAATGATGCTAACAAAAATATTGCGATGTTATATAATATGTTAACTAATTATATTAATATAATAAGTGTTTAATTATTTGTTAGAATAGTATTTTTTAATTAAATAAGTTTTTACTATAAAATTTTAAAATTTATGACACATTCAATTAAAAATAAACCCATATGTGTGTACGGATATAGTGTTTCTGTTTTAAAAATTGTATTATTAGGGTTTGTATTTTAGGTAACCAAATAATATAATAATTTTTGATATATAATCTAAGACCTTGTAAGAAAGTGAATGATATTTATTAATTAATGTTAGTTAATTAAAATAATTTTATTTTCTTAACAAACATATGTTGTATAAATTATATAACAGATAATAAAATTAAATCATAAGACAAGACTTACTAATATTAAGTAACTGTGAGAATGTATGAATATATAATTGTTTTAATCGTATGCTATATTCTGTACAATTTATTTTACAAAAACACATACATACAAAGCAACAAGGTAAGTAACAATATATATTTTTAAGTGAGTGAGTGAGTGAGAGAGAGAGAGAGAAAGAATATATATTTTTATGCTGAATAGTTAAAGAGGGTGTAGTTTAAGTGGATGCAAAATTTATGCCTCACTGCTTCTAACCATTGTGTTTTAGATTATTTGTATTTTAGCCATATATAGTGTGACCACCTGTGCTCTATTTCACTATGCCCTGTTTTAGTATATGTGTTTTTAGTACAATGTCACGGGTATTAATCAAAAATTATTAATATATTAGTCTGTATTTGGTCATGATCAAAACGCCCAAATTGCTTGTCCTCAATTCCCAAACACATGGATCGGTGCAATGCCTTCGAGAAGTCTACCACTGAATGCGGTCAAACATTTTGAGATGTGTGGCCAACAATTGGTGGCATTCAGGGGTGGATCGGGTGTTGTCCACGTGTTGTCCGCCTATTGTCCACATTTGGGCGCAAATCTCGGTATTGGCGGACATGTGGTGACTGAATCGGGCGACGACTGTATTCAGTGTCCATTCCATGGCTGGAGGTTTGGCGGAGACGGACAGTGCAAACGCATACCAAATCTCAACGGTGTGTTCATAAGTAATGCTAATTGTTATTTATGAATATTTTTATCCACTTTAATAGACTCTGATTTAAAGGCAGTGAAAGCTGTGGTAAAGAAATGGCAGACAATAGAGAAAAATGAATTGATATATGTTTGGCATCACTCGGAAGGCTCGGACCCCGACCACTATCCCGAGGACTTTCTCGCCAAATATGGTCACAATCTCTCGTTTAGATTCTATTATTCGAGACATATGGACAGTAACTTTGAAGTAGGATATATACATTTTATTACATACAGTACTTACAAAACTAAGTAAACAATATGTGAAATAAAAATAATCATTTAATATTAACTATGAATATAAAAATATTTAAACCATTAATTAATGATGATATATGTGTATAGGTAGTGGGCGAGAATTGCGGTGACCTGGAGCACTTTGCTCGCCTACACGGATCGGTGGTACCGTACTTAACGACTACAAAATTCTCTTTTGACACAACACGCAGTGCTGACAATGAAATCGCCGGTTTCGCCACTATCTATGTATTGGGCTTCAAGTTAATCACTCAGCCCTGGAAATTGTGGTTCGGCTCACCTGTTATGGTGCACCACAAGTTAGGATACGACAACTCACTGCTGGGACCTGTATTAGGTGTGCTCAATGCCGTACCGTTGCACCATGGCCAAACACGATTAACAACAATGATATACAGCAAGCCAACCATTTTGCACAGACTATGGGCTATATTTTATTTCTATTTGCTAAATATTCAGGTATGTTTTGCAATTAATCCAGCTCATTATATTATAATCTGTAATTTACATGACCAGGCTGATGCCGATATGGAAGTGTGGGTCAATACCCAGAAGCTGAAGCGCCCCATATTTACCCGCAATGACGACCTGATACAGTTGTATAGACGCTATTGTCAACGATTTTACGCTAAATAAATTTGATGATGATCCTATTTATTATTATTATCATCATTTCTTTAGTTTATCAAACTGTTAACGATAATGATTCTCGCGCTTTGTCATTTATACAAATATTCAACATAAAAATTTTGATTAAATAAATTTTTCTAAATTTTGTATAAATAATCATTTAGTAATTACGATCTAATGCTTATTTATTAGCCAAGACTTGTATGTATGGGTGAAAAATGTCATTTAACCCAACCTGGTAATTCTTAAGCATACCAACTGTGATAGCCTTTAACTGTGTTAGTGTTAATTGAACATGGTAATCACGATTCAATTCATGCCTTAATTCTGTTGCAAACATTGAATCGATTCCGATATCGCCTAAAGTGGTGTCATTTGGTGTGGAATTGGGATCAATGCCTAAAGTTCTCCACAACTCAACGATTATTCGCTTCTGTTTTCCATCCGTTTGTTTCGATATTGTCAACGATTTTACGCTAAATAAATTTGATGATGATCCTATTTATTATTATTATCATCATTTCTTTAGTTTATCAAACTGTTAACGATAATGATTCTCGCGCTTTGTCATTTATACAAATATTCAACATAAAAAATTTGATATCTATCAGCAATGAAATGAAAAATTATTTGATATAAATTTTATACGTATCGATTTATTTTATTAAATAAATTTTTTTAAATTTTGTATATAAACCACAAAATAATTCTGTATTTTTCAACAATTAATTAAATGCAATAAAGGTTATTTTAAAGCAACGTTTTGCAGAGCGACCAAATGCGGGCATTTGCGGGTAAAATTATAATGTAATGTCTATGGGAGCAGAACATAGAGGCAAAGCCTATCTTCTGAGAAGTTATGCTTATTAGTAAAAAGTGTTGAAATCATTGAAGTGCTTACTATCCGACTGCTCTCCTAAAGAGCAGATTGTCATTCAAAGTATCGGATGCATCGCTAACTGACGGACGGATCTCTAATATGATTCAGTGAGTACACTAAACCCTCCCTAAACGTTATGCTGCACTATACTGTACTCACTTTCATGTCATGTTCCACCGCTCGACACTAATACATGACGATTCTCATTAAAGTCATAGACTTTAGCATTATCCATGTTAAAGCATAGCCATAGCTTTAAGCTGTAATCCCTTGTAAATTCCCCATAGACTCAAGAACACCATGTTAAAGTATAGCCATAGCCATAGATCCCATAGTCTCACAGACTTAACATTATCCATAGACTTAGCATTACCCATGTTAAACCTATGTTATAGACTTAAGCTGTAATCCCATAGAAATCAATGTTAAATCATTCTTACTTAAACTTAACATTAGTGTCATAGGATTAACATGAAGAAAACTTATGTTTTCTCTTCATATTTTGCTTTCCCATAGAAAATAATCTCCCATAGAATTAACATTACTCATAAGATAACATTAGCCCATGTTAAGTCTATTGAAAAAGCTCCATAGGGTTAGCATTACCCATGTTAAACCTATGTCAAGCTGTAATCCCATTTAAAATCCCATAGGGTAAAAAAGCCGGGAGGGGTGGGGGGGCAGAACGATCCGATAAACTACACTCTTCATATATGAATTGTGGTTAAAATATTAACTTTAATTGGTTTAAAATATGGTGAGGACTTGAGTGCCCCCCTCTGCGAACGAATGTGTGTACACAAGTCCACAATTAAAATGGAAATAAATACAATTCAAATCAAATCAAATCAAATCAAACTTTATTGGAATCTATGATCAATAAAAATTGTTTTTCATATAAATCCATTATAAAAGTATATAATTCTATAAAAGATTACAGAATATAAACGATAATAATTAACTTTATATAAAACCAACTGTATTACCAATTATTATTATTAAACCAATTATTATATTATTATAATTTTTATTAATTTTGCCATTATTATTAATTATTATTATTAAATTATTAATTTTTACTTAAAACTACAGATATGTTCAGAAGTAGAGTAATAAAGTCAAAGGCAGGAGGATAATATTTAAGGCTTTACACTTGAAAAAATAATAGTTTATTAAAATTACATATAAAATTACATTTATTTTGTATGTTTTGTGAGATTTTAATTGACTTTTGGTCATTTGAAAAAGTGATAAAACAATACAAAAGTTTAAACTATTTTTGATGACTAATGCATTATTAATATTGGAATTTTCATTAAATATTTTCCTCCTGCCTTTGCCTTTATTACTCTACTTCTGAACATATCTGTATATGCTCTACTATATATTTTACATATTTGTAAGGTTCATTACGGGATTATTTTTCTTTATTTTTCTTCCCAAAAAATGGGAAAATTCCGGAAAATAAAAATGACATGGGAATTACTTTCATTACCCAAAAATTTTATAAAAATTTTAAATTATTATTAAATAAAATCGCGTATCATCTAATTTTTTGTTGTGAGGGACGACAAGCATTGGCACTAATACAACATATCATTGCCATTGAATACCATTGAACCACTTTTTGGGAAAATATAAATTCTCAATTAAATTATATTAAATTCATGAATAGGTTTGAACAATTGATTTAATTATACGATGCTTAAGCATGTTAAAGACTATGTTTTAGACTAATAAAAGTTATACATATATTTTGATTGATCATCAATTGACCACAATTTATGTCTTATTTTCTCATTTTTCAGGAAGATGTGGAAAGTAAGGAAGATTCCTTATTTTCCGGAAAGATATAAGATATGGGAGGTAAACGATGAACCTTACATATATGTATTTTAAAATTAATATTATTAAAATGTGATACAGTCAGACCTCTGTCTTGTCAATCATCTATGCTGTCAACTCCTCTATGTTATCAACCAAATCCCAAAACCCACAGTACATAGACATAATGTTAAATTAACCTCTATGTAGTCAACCCCTCTATG